TCACCATCGTCACCTCTGACCCTGTGTCCAGAAAACAGGAAAACGGCCATTGAACATACATCTTGGCTGGTTATTCTGATTCTGGTGTACTAGCACGGCCTCCCACAAGCCGGGAGACTGCATCTGAGCGGCCTTGGCCAAAGGGATATGTAGCTCTCGATGTCCCGTTTCACCACAGTTATAGCACTGACTTCTTTCTGCCCGGCCGTCGTTAGTGTGATGATGGCATCTATCTGATGGTAGTCGCCCACTTCCCATCCAGTGAGGAGACCATTTGTGGGGTTATGTCGCTGCAGGTGTTCGAGCTGGCCACGAACCAATGTTAGGAGTGGTGGACGCAGGTTTCCTACCGACCAGCGCCACTTGTGGTAAAACATTCCTGTAGAACTCCAGACAGTGGCTGCCTCAGAGTACTGCCCTGGATTGTACAGGCCCAGGACCATCCTTTCACATGTGCCATGCTGGGTGGCCACAAACTCGATGTCCTCCCCATCCTCAGGAGCCCATGAACAGCTGTCTCGCTCGACCACAGAGTCCCAGACGGCCTGGCATTTCTCAGTTATATTGCGTGCAGAAGTCATGCCAAAGTAACTGACCACGAAGCCAATCAGGCAGTCTCTCCCGGAAGGTACGCCAACATTAGACAGCATTCCCAGTGTCTTGAGGATAGTCGCATACTGCTGCACTGCCAGTTCCACTGCACGAAAGAAGTCCTGTGGCCCCTCACCGAGCCAAGCATTTCATGGAAATGCTGAGCCGTGGCCATACCACGAAACTGGTCCTGGAGCCAACAAGGCATATCCACTTACCTTGCTGCGTGCCATGCTTATGTAAGCCTTGGAGGTGGCAGGCCGGGTTGCAAGCTTGATGCTGGAAATCCAGGACTTCAGCTCCTGGTCTGCTGGGTAGTGTAGAACGATGACAGGTGTGATCACACAGCTGAGCCGGCACTGACTTGGAGTAGGATGTAGGCATGCAATCAGCAGCTACTGGAAATGCCATGTTTAGATGGGCAGGGGGCTGTGATACTGGTTTAGCATGCTGTAGTGGTGGCCCATATTGTGTCAACTGAGGCAGCACTGAGGGCTGCAGACGGGCTGCAGGCCCTGTTACAGACCCCGATGATATGGGCGGTGATGGTCACGATATGGCCACAGATAAGGCAGCTGGTTCCTTAGAGGTAGCGGCCACGACCCACTGATGTCCTTGGGTATGTCTCCTATCCCCTGAATCAGCATCTGGCTGGTCATCCACTGCAGGAGTCAAGTACGAGGCTACAAGTGCAGGACACTGCGAACCTACAGTTACTGGTGGAGGCGGATGTTGCAGGTCTGGACGGCTGACAAGTGTGGTAGTATAGTGGTAGCGGCTGGCAATATCCCCTTGGTAGCGGTGGACGGTGCAGGCTGCTGGCCTTTCAGGAGTCGGCAACACCTGCATCTGAGCCTGTATCTGTGACTGCATCTATATCTGATCCTGCATGCAGGCCAACTGGTCCCCTACCTGCGGTCCCAAATGGTGCATAAGCCAGGCCTCCAATTGGGCCAGTTGTGCTTGCGGCAGTTCCAGGCCACTAGCCGCAACTGCCCCGGCATCAGACAACACACCCCCGAAACCATAATAATCTAAGCAGGTCTGGGTCTGGTCTAGCGGGTGGTTCATCCTTGGGTCCTGCGTCTTCTGGGGTCAGAAGGCAAGACCCTGGCTGTGATATCTTGCTACAGTGGAGGGCAAAAAGCCCCTGTGAACTGTGAGATGCGCAACCGCAGACTATACAGTACCGGCCTACAGCCCTCCACGTTGCAATGAAAGATATCACTGCACCTTGAGTGCGACACTGGCAGTATATCAACACCTCTGCTGACATACAACTCACAAAAGTATGCCCCATAGCAATAATATAGAAAATTTAATAAAACAACCTGAGAACTGGTAATGAAATATCAAAGGGCAAAAACGACAAAAATAAGTTTTAAAAAGAATTTTAAAAAATGGCTACTGACTAGGTTTCAAACACACTAAAAAAATCAATAAATAAAAAAAAGAAAATCAAGCAGTAAAAACCTGCTAAAAACAATAAAATTATCCATAAAAAATAAGTATAAAACTAGGAAACACTAAAACCCCATAAATGGATTAGACAGCAAGACCTGCTAACCATAACAAAACACCCATGAAATATACAAAGAAAATAGGTAATATATATATATATATATAATATATATATATATATATTATATATATATAATATATATATATATATATATATATATATATATATATATATATATATATATATATGTATGTGTGTGTGTGTGTGTGTGTGTGTGTGTGTGTGTGTGTGTGTGTGTGTGTGTGTGTGTGTGTAGTCTGCAAGACTTGATAACACCGTGACGAATCGTCGGCGCATGTACTGTTCCCTGGTACTGCGGTGAATGAATAGGCCTCATTGCATGGCCTTGACCAACATGATCTATGATTTATGCGCGTTTAGGTCTGTACGATAAAGGAATAATATTTTACATATTTGTGGGATTTTAACATTGCTATATCATTACTACTCTGAAAGATAACAAGAAGACCAAAATGGTGGCAGAAGTGGAAATCCCTTCCGAAGTCGTAGAGCAGTACGAGCGTGATGGCGCCGTTCTGCTGAAGGGCGTGTTCTCTCCGTCGTGGGTGATCAAGGTTCAGGACGGAATAATGAAGAATCTAGAGAAACCTTCACAATACTCAGAGCGTCTTGTTGTAAGTACAAAACGTATCCCTTTTCGGTTAGTACACGATATCGATACAATGTTTTGAATCACCCCTAGTATTCTTTCTCTATTTTTATCAGACACCTTTAATTAGTCATCATACAGATAATTATAGGTTGAAACCACTTTATTTAGAACATAAAGGTTTCTTTTTGCAGGTTAAAAGTTACCAATCTAAAGGAGCTTATTAAAAAACCCAACCGATTTTCTTTATAAATAACAAGGTTTATTTATCAAACTAAACAGATAACAAAATGGAATTAATGAATAATGATTATATACAGTGCTGCCTTATGTATCGCCATGAGTGTACAGGAGATTCAGAGGTGACGGTTTGCTCGACCGCCATGGGTGCACCGCTGTCTTCATTTGGGTCGTGGTCATTTCGGCGACATTGGTGGTGGATGTGAATTCATTCTACGGTCGTGCTGCTTTGGCTGAGAAGGTACGCTGATGCTTGCTCGGCCGTGCGGTGAGAGACGGAGGCTGGATAGATAAGGCACCTGCTGCACCTGAGACTTGTGGAACACCGCGACGATGTTCCTTGATAAGCCTGAGTGCCCGTTTTTCTATTTCATCAAGCCTGTTGAGGTTGGTGGGCGCATTAGAATACCAGGCCAACGAGGTATATTCTTGATGTGGTCTGATCTGGGACTTGTACATCGCAAGAATTCCTTGAGGATTCAGGATGTGAGATATACGTCAGAGAGCTGTCACCTTCAGAGAAGCTGTTTTGCAGATCCTGCTGACGTGTCTGTTAAATCTGAACTCATTGTATATGTCCACACCAAGGATTGAAATAAAGTCCTCGAGTGGAAGGGCGGTGCTTTTCAGTAAGATCTTGTCCTTCATGACGTCTGATGCAGCTGGAGACCGGGATGCTGTATTGCCTGGGTCTTGTTGGCGGCATATCTTTCTTGCCATTGTGATCCCCAGTCGTAAATTGCTTGTAACTGTGAATTCCTATCTATTGTTAAAGCAACCTTACGCAGGTATGAAATAGAAAGGGTACAGTCATCAGCATATGCTGAGATTTCGGGATGTTCCTTAAGCATATAATCAATGTAGATTTTCCATAGGATTATGCCAAGGGCAGAACACTGTGCTACCGACGCCTGCATCGGGTAATTCAGGAATGACTGGATTCCGATGACTCCTGGCAGTGCTCTTCCGGCGAGGGAATCACCAGAGAGCCGCAAGAGACTTCTGCTTATGCCTCGCTTGTCGAAGGTGCTGACGATGAAATTACGAGAGTGGGAGAAGTGGGAGGAACAGGTCCCCCTCTCCCTAGCATTTCCATCTCTATTACGCACTGCCGGAGGGGCCCCCGGAACGCCCATTTACCCCAGGGGTCTAAGGGGGAGGAGTTGACACAGAGCCAGGTCGTGTCCACACGACGCGTCGTGGGCCTAGACTGAGTACCTCTGGGGCCTCCTGCTGCTCCGAGATCCCCCACAGTTTAGCCTGGGACTGCAAGGTGCCAAGTTTCCCATATACATATACACATATACACAAATACACAAATACACAAATACACAAATACACAAATACAAATATACACATATACACATATACACATATACACATACACACATACACACATATACACATATACACATACACACATACACACATACACATATACACATATACACATATACATACACAATATACATACACATATAAATCACTATATAAACATATACATATATAATATATACACATATACATACACATATAACATATACATACACATATACATACACATATACATACATAACATAATCATACAATACATACACATATACATACACATACATACACATATACATACACATATACACACATATACATACATATACATACCCATATACATACCCATACACATATACATACACATATATACATATACATACATACACATACACACATATCACAACACATACATACACCATACACAATTACATACACATATACATACACATATACATACACAAATACATACACAAATACATACACAAATAACATACACAATACATACAACATATACATACACATGCACATATACATATACAATACATATATATACAATTAATACATATATACATACACATATACATACACATACATACACATATACATACCATATACATACACAATAACATACACATATATTATACCAATATACATACAACATATACATAACACGTATACATACAACATATACCCATATACATCACAATAGCATACACATATACATAAATATACATACACAATATACATACATAATAATACATAACATAATAACAACACATATCATATCATATAATTCACCTAATACTACACTATATCATACACAATACACGTACATA